CCACTGGTGACTGACATGGGGTAGAGTTTTACCACAGGGGACAGATTCTCACTCACATGGCTCCTAATCTGGGGGTGCAGTTAGAGCAATCCACCCTTCTCTAAGTTAGGTGCCCTGGGAAACCGATGCCCTGGGAAACAGAGCAGCCATACTCTAGGGCTATGTCTACACTGCAGGCTTCTTGCACGAGAACTGTTTCGTGCAAGAGTTCTTGTGCAAAAATTCTTGCACAAGACTGCATCCACACTGCCATGTGCTTTTGCGCAAGAGCGTCCATGGCAGTGTGGACGCTGTCTTGCACAAGAAAGCTCTGGTGGCCATTTTAGTCATAGGGCTTTCTTGCGCAAGAAACCCCTGTTGCCTGTCCACACTGCTTTCTTGTGGATGAGCTCTTGCGCAAGAGGGCTTATTCCTCGTGGGGAGAGGAATAACTCTTGCACAAGAAGCCCTGTTTTCCGATGCTTTACTGTAAATGTACTTGTGCAAGAACACGTGTGCAGTGTAGACGCTCCGCAAGTTTTTGCACAAGAACAGCTGAAGACGTAGCCTAGGAGCATGTAAAGAGCTTTACTCTGACAGGGAGTTGGCTTGTGCAGGGGTATTGCCAGGAGCCCTTCTGCTTCTACCTTGCAGCTGCTTTATGCTGCCATAGCACGGTGATGCAGCATCACGTCCATGGTAGCAGCGGTGAAGCATCACTCCTCCGCCTAACTTTGCATCCATGAGTTGGGTAGAACAAGTGCAATTTACGCTCTAAGGGTGGGACCTGGTGGGACGTAGTGGGGGTGGTGGTCACGCTTGTCGCCACGGTGCTCACTTTGTTGTTGTCTCTGGGGGAGGCAGGTAGGGAATGACCCAGGCCGGCCTGACCCCGAGCGAGGTGGAGGATTGTCAGGTGACGTGTTGCCCAGGACTCTGAACAAAGGAGGCGGCCCGGGGGGGCTGTGAGCAGTTGCTAGGGGTGTGTTAGTTTTCCGCTGGCTGAGGGAGAAGGGAGCCTCGCTGGCCTGGGTGGGGGCAGGAGCCCAGAGCTGGGGGGCCAGGCCCCCCTTTCTGCAAGATGGATGGTACTGAATGCTCCTAGTTAGTTCCCATAACAACAAATCGGGGCTACGCTGTGTCCCTGTGAACTCTGCCTGCCAGCTGAGAGCGAGGCCTGGCTGCAGGAGTGGGGTGCAGGGCCTGGTGACTCCCCCACACTCCATCACACCCTGCAGCCACAGACTGAGCGCTGGTCTGGCCCCATGTCACGCAAAGCTCTCCCCTTGGAGTGGATGGTAGGTTCAGCAAGGAGGGAGGGAGCGATCTGGACCAAGATGCTGTGGGGGGGGGGAGCAAATCTGGCTCTGGACTGCTTGTGCCAGGATAAAAAAAAAACCCCAAGGAGCTGAATTAGCCGTTCCTCGCAGGGGCTGCTGGGAGTGGGAGGGGCCTGGGCTCTATATAAACCCTTGGCAGCTGGCTGAAGGAGAGTTGAGAGGAAAAGCAGCCTCCGAAAAGGGCAGGGAGCCAGACCATCACCTGGGGGAAAGGGGCTGAGTCTGGGGAAAGCTGGGCACAGGCTGGGCTGCCTGTGGGGGGAACTCGCCTGAGAAGTGAGGGAACTTACAGGGAAAGGGGACTCATTCGGGGCGTGGGTGGGACGCTGGAGGCTGAGGCAGCCTTTTCGCAGGACCCTCAGGGCGTGGCGACACAAGGAGATTCTTTTGAAATCGAAAGAACTCCTGAAATAACCGTTCTGAAGGAAGCGTGGTTCCCCGAGGAAAGCGGGAGAACCGACTTGCGAATATATTTCCAAATAACGGGCTTGGTAGTGTGGACGTGCCGCTTATTTTGAAATAAGGGGGGTTATTTCCAAGTAATTCCCTGGTGTAGACCAGGGCTAATGTTCCCTCTGGTGTCCTCCAGACCCCTTCTGGGAGTGGTCAGGACCCCAGGGGGCTGGGTGGCAGTTGGAGTGTAGCTGGAAGACCAGCTCCCCTTGGTCCCAGCAGGGTCCCAGGCCCCCCATCTGCCTCCGGCTCCCCCTGACAGGGACTTAGCCTCTCGCTGCTCCAGCTCCCCATCTCCAGCATGAGAGGTGGGGCCGGGGACTGAGGCGCTCGGGTACTACGGGCTCTGTCTCTGCAATGAAGGCTGCATGGGGTGTGGAGCAGGATGGGCCCATGGCCATATGGGGTTGCTCTGGCTCTCCCCCAGCCCTGCCCGCCCCCGGCTGAAGGGGGGGAGGCTCTCACTGCTGCCCCCTCTCTGCCATCTGCAGCTGAGGGGGGCAGCGGATTTGTAGGAGGGGCTGTGATGGGGGAGGGCAGTGGGGTGTAAAATGAAGGGCATCTGAGGGGGGGTTGGGTTGGCGGTGGCAGGTGGAACAATTTTTGGGGGGGGGGGGGAC